CATTCAATATTGTATCTGTTCATCATAATATTATATTTGATCATCGCAGTACCATATTTAATAAAGGATTTCGTAATATAGGATTTCGTCATCATAGTATTGCTTTTAGTCATTGTAGTATAGCATTTGGCCATTATAACATTGCATTTGATTATTGTACTACAGCACTAGTTCATCATAATATTGCATTTGACCTTCTTAGTAATATCACATGGGATCAGAAACCTGGTAGCTATTATGTTCTCATAATTCGTCATTACAATGCACTTATTTATTGAAATATTGCATTTGATCATCATAACATCGCTATAGATCATCATAACATCGCCAAAAACAGTATAACTTTCTGTAATCCAAAGATTTCTGTATAATCACATCGCTCCAAAAGGTCCCTCACATGTGTGCTTAATATTTGCACAAAACCAAAGAAAAAAAAGTCAGCAGATTCTCAGTACGAAACGAAATGTGCGCAAAAGAAGTACAAGGAGAACAGATCACAAGAAAATAAAGAAAATAAGATACAGTGTACCCTTGAGCAAGAGGAGGGATCGTAATATCGAGATAAGGGGTCAAAAGAAACGATAATGTCGCGATGTCTCGAGATATCAATGGTATCTGCTTTCTGTTGCACAACTGTTAACTTCAATTAACCGAAGACACGATTTAATAAGAAATTTTGTATCTCCTTTGTTTTGACATTCGAGTGTTTCATTCGTGCTTGAACTCTGTTGATTGGGTTATACGGGTCGATCTAATAATTAGGTCGATGAACCGATGTGGAGGCCTCGTGTACGGCTAATTTGCTTTCCCTGGGGAAAACGTGATAAAATGTGCGATGAAATTATTGGAAATTATTATCGGAGTTCATTTTGGGGTGTACAGATTGACTGTTTGCATTTGTATTTGGCAATTAGCAAATAATTTTATGAAGTAATTTACGTTTGCAATTTTTCCCTATTTTGGCGAAAATAGACTACGCTTAAGAATTTTTTTCTCAGAAACTACTCATCCAATTCAGCTAAATTTTCTTTTGTTTTATTCAAAAAGGATTAGGCTATTTTAAAATATTTTTTTTAACTTCGTCTATTTATGATAAAATATCAAGAAATTTTTTCTGTGAGGAGCATAAATAAGTATGATCATATTCTTTGTCCAAATATTCCTTCAATAATTTCATACCCATTCTTTTTCATCTTCCATTTTAAAATTCGATCTCATTTTTGTCGACCAAGTTAGGTGATCTAACAGTTTCGTGTTTACAAATTTTGTCTAGACGAGAATTTTTTGTTACCATCATACATTAAAAGAAGAATTTACGTTCCCCGACATTCTTGAATATCGCAGCAAAGATTTTAGCCCAGTAATCGTTTAATGGTGGCATCGGATTAATTATCGGGTTACTGTGCTAGATGTTTAGACTTTAAAAATTTCGATTACGAATCCGCTGCGTAAATTCCAGAAATAAGCGCCGCTTTGAGTTGCTCGAATATTTCGTTCTGAATATTTGCCTATAAAACAGACGTAAATCAAAATTGAATATCAGTGAGGTATGCGAGGTTTTAGACTTTGTTCTCCTTCATTTTTTTTATCTACTCTTTAATTTACAAAATGGGCTGCAAAATGTGACAAATACATTTTTCATTTATTATATAAGTAAATATGTTCATTTATTATATAAGTAAATAAAGGGAAAAATACATATGCAACCAGAGCCTATTCATCTGAATTATTTGTAAGATCCAAATTATATTGTTTTTAAAATTAGAGAATTCTCTGAGACGTATGAAAATTTGAAAATTCACTGACTCGTAATTAGATAAAAGTTCAGTGAGTACGAAAATTTTCATAAATACGAAAATTCAGTCGAGTTGATCAGAGAAAGAATTGTGCGTTGCAGATTGTACAACATGCAACACGAAACGAGGGATGAGTACATGTTTGAGGCTGAGCCCGTACGCTTCAGTGTCATGATATTATTTTCGACATGGATCGGAGAATATCTCGGTTCCATCGATGGCTGAAACCACAGACAACGAAGACCCACGCAGCCACAGAAGGGACACTTTCGAAAAATTCCGATATCCACGTCTCCATTTCTCCATCGGTAGCGGATTCCTGCTGCCGATCAGATTTCGTCGAGTGCTCATCATGGAGTTGCGACGCAAATGAGCTTGTTGCATAATAAGCGTTCATAATTGCAATACTATAACCAACAAATTTTCGCGTTCATTTACATATCACGGTACAACATAATTAAATAATAAATTAGTCCAGTATAACTAACCTAACCATGAGTTTACCAGGTGCCAACGAATCTGTATTTCCAATTTCGAACAGTTACATATTGCCGCCAAAGCAAACACGTTGCTGCATTCATTACATCAGCAGTTCCAAAAAGTTGTACTAATCTCTTACGTATGACCACCATCAAACATAATTTCTTGAAAATGAAATCTTCAGAGTTAGTCATGGAGATTCATTGTAACTTCATTTTAAAAGCTACAGACTGTTGCTGTACAATGTTTATTTTTCATCACATGACCTAGAACACCTTTTGACACGAAACAGAATAAACACTATGTACTGCGATACTTTTAACGGATTCTTGTAACGGTTAGCTATCTTGGTGACCAGACCAAGCCACAAAATGATGGTTCTAGTACTAGTGAGAGTGCCAGGTGCCGAATTTGTATGTGTATTTCAAATTTCGAGCAGTTACTCTAATGCCGCCAAAGCAAATCGGGTGTTTCATTCTCGAAAAATTCACTCCATCAAAATTTCAAGTGATAGATCCAAAATTGTGGCTTGACAAATACAAATTGAGTCGTCAGGAGCCTTACATTTAACAAATAATTTACCATGAGCCTTGGGAAATAGTAGAAATAACAGATATTCAAGCTACCCATCCTCATTTTCTTCACCTTTACATTCTGGTTTTCTAAACTATTTTTTATTTCAAACCTAACTTAAATTTAAATTTACATGCTATGAAATTATCGTTGATGCTTAAAATTTTATATTAATGGGTTACTGTAACTGTACTTTTTTGTGGATATCACAAGTGAATCACAATAACTTCAATAATTTATAATGATTATAATTGTCTTTAATAACAAATTTAAAATTTCAAGGTATATGTATTTTTATGTTTCTGAATTTCCAAATTAGCAAATTACTAAATTTTCATGTAATATCCAAGTTTTATTGATCTTTACATTACCATAGATTCAAACTAATAAATTTAGTTATGTTCTATGCTCTAATTTTTAAATCCTCAAAATCACACTGTTAAAAAACAAACTTTTCACCTGCAAATCACCATACCTCACTATTACTTGTCCAGACTCGTACAGAATTAAAAATCAATTACAAAAACTGCATCATCATTTGCACAAAATGACCTCCCACTTCAAAACAAAAGAATGACATTCTTCCGGTTTATTAATGTACCTTAATCTTTTCTGTAGACACGTTGTTGCATTCATTACGTCAGCAGTTCCAAAAAGTTGTAATAATCTCATACGTATGACCACCATGTGGCAGACATAATTTCTTGAAAATGAAATCTTCAGAGTTAGTCATGGAGATTCATTGTAACTTCATTTTAAAAGCTACAGACTGTTGCTGTACAATGTTTATTTTTCATCACATGACCTAGAACACCTTTTGACACGAAACAGAATAAACACTATGTACTGCGATACTTTTAACGGATTCTTGTAACGGTTAGCTATCTTGGTGACCAGACCAAGCCACAAAATGATGGTTCTAGTACTAGTGAGTTTACCAGGTGCCGAATTTAAATGTGTATTTCAAATTTCGAGCAGTTACTCTAATGCCGCCAAAGCAAATCGGGTGTTTCATTCTCGAAAAATTCACTCCATCAAAATTTCAAGTGATAGATCCAAAATTGTGGCTTGACAAATACAAATTGAGTCGTCAGGAGCCTTACATTTAACAAATAATTTACCATGAGCCTTGGGAAATAGTAGAAATAACAGATATTCAAGCTACCCATCCTCATTTTCTTCACCTTTACATTCTGGTTTTCTAAACTATTTTTTATTTCAAACCTAACTTAAATTTAAATTTACATGCTATGAAATTACCGTTGATGCTTAAAATTTTATATTAATGGGTTACTGTAACTGTACTTTTTTGTGGATATCACAAGTGAATCACAATAACTTCAATAATTTATAATGATTATAATTGTCTTTAATAACAAATTTAAAAATCATCCACTTCTTGAGGTTAAAATATGGTTTCTAGAAACACTTCAAATAAAATGATTTACAAATCCATAGCAAGATTGAAGCAATTCTTACACCAGTTAAAACTAACTATATTAGTTTTAATTGCACTAGTTAAAACAGATTTCACAGACAATTCTAGCTGCTTCAACCGCAGTTTTTTCCTGAAGAAACAGGAAAACCATGCTAGGTTAAATATACAGTTTATCATTCACTTTCTAGGAGAAATGTATATTTTGGTTACAAAGATGACGTGAACTTGTTTACAACATTAGCCACGGTTGTTAAATATTGTTGACGTAATAAAACGTGACTTCAGGGAATTTACTGTATCAACTAGCCACTGATCTATGAAGCTAAACGAAATTCATGCCCCAACATAATGTATTATAAATTAAATATCATAGCAAGTTTCGACGCTTCATTTTCTTTTTATTCTTCTGTTTCTAGGGAGATAATAGAAACGCAACTATCGTTTTGTACATTTCTGAATTACTGTGCTTAAATGTGTAGTTAAAGGCTTTCATTTACAACTCGTATTTTTGTGTCTGTACTACATCTTTCTCACCTTTGTTGTCGATCTCATAAAGGTACATGATGTTTCTAGTTCGAATATTTTCATACACTTTTCTGAGTAAATTCTTAGTTTGTTTAACTCATTCTCCATCAAAATTGTCTTCTAATAATATCTATAAATAATTTTGGTAAAATTAGAGTTTAACAATGTTTAAATCTGTTTGATTTCAGATCCTTGGAAGTATTCGAACAGTATGGTGTGCCACATTCTGAATTGTTGAAAGCTCAACGAGCTGCTGGTGGCAGCGGATTAGGTGGACCCTTGAGGCATCCGAATTCTATTATATTGTGGCTTCGTTGTGATGCGGTAAGTGAATCATAAATGTATTTATTTTACTTCTCTCGATGGTGTGTAGAAATGCTCGGGAAATTCGATCGCCTTGGAAAATGGTTTTGAAATTTTTAATTATTTTTGCAATGATGAAATGATTAAACTGTACTGATGCCATATTTTTTAATTTAGGATTTAAATGTAATTAATGCATAATAAAAAAGAATGTAACGTATAGTATGTATTTTATAATAATATGTATTGCCATAAAATAATTTAAATATAAAATAAAATAAATAATTTTAAACTCCGTGGAAACTCTCGTATCCACATTTGAAGCAAAGAACAAAGTATCAGCGATAATACAAGGACATCTTTGATCTGTCCAAGACCACTGACCAAATACACCGAAGCACCAAAAATATACACGATAAATTTTATCATTTGCGAAAGAACATACGTGATTTTATAAAAACGTGCTGTAGTTATTTTTAATGTGCACACAACCTTCAAACGTTCTAGCTGATATCATGTTATTTCTACTGCACTGAAGAATCATTTATTTTGCGGATATAATTATAACAATGCATTTTTAAAATTGACAATGCATTAATGATTCCACATGAAAATTCAAGTTCAAGAGTTCAATTCTTTTCATGACTGTGTTAACAAATTTAGACTACGAACAATAGAGTTCAGTACTCACAAATTCGAGTTAATCTTTCAAGGTTAAAGAATTAATTTATTAAGAAGGAGAAACCTAAAATATATTTTCAAATATATTTAAAAATAAATTTCTATAATATATTTTTTATATTTATTTTTATATTTATTCTTTTATTTATTTTTTAATTTGTATGTTTATTTTATATTTAAAAATAAAGTATCCTATTCTATCTACTGCGGTTTAAATACACTTTCAAATATATTTTATATTCAAATATAAATATTTAAAAAAAGATTGAATCATCTATCAATTTTAAAACCGATCAGAATAAAAAAGAAACAAGTTTTAAATTAAATCTATAATTAACTTCTTATCCACCATAATTTAGTAATATTACTTCACAAGAAATCTTGAAGAAGATAAAAGTTCTAAAATTAAATATTTAGGAAATGTTTTTGCGACGTGTTCTTTTTCCTGGAAAATGTTTTTCGTTGCGGTAAAGTAATTAATTAATCATTTCAACTGGACGATTAGAATATATGAAGAACATACAGGAAACATTATTCAAGATGCATCACACTGTGACTCACTGAAGCGTTGATAGAAAATTGCAATCCATCATGTTGAAAACATAATTGCACCCGTATCTGAAGTCTGCTCGATTATGTAAATTCATATTTATCGTTGCGGTAATATTTTTCTGTTATACGAAAGAGTACGAAGAGAGACGCTCTGAACTGTATTTTTGATGTTTCTCAAAGCTTGTACCTTAAAATTGTTCGTATAGAGCGGGAAATTCAAATCAAATTTAATTTCATGTAAGCCTCTAATAACTATTATAGAAATCTATTTGTCGTTAATTTTCTGTATATTAATATTGGTTTTCAAAATATTTACATCAATTTCACAGGATTGAAAAGTCGAGAAAGAAATGCATATTGCAATGATTACAAAATACATTTGAAGAACATTACAGAAACAATTATTAGAAATAACTTGTAAAGAAATGAACTATTTATTAGAAGAAAATACAGGTGAATGTGTTATAGAGAAATGACAAAATATTTATTACCCTAGTGAATATGTTACTGGAAAGGACAAAATAGTTACTCGTATTTATTGCAAGTTACAAATAAATAACAAAGTATTTCTCATAAATAAGTTTCAAGTAAAAGACGAATGTGTAGGTATAAAGCATGTTTACCGGACATCATACGCACTATGTACATTTTTTGAAATACCGCGTGGAAATCATATCTCTACCCCGTTTTATTTGCATGGCCAGTTAAATTGCTTGTATTCTGTCTCTTTCAAAAAGTAATTTCTTTGTAAGAGTGTCACATCTTGTTATTTCTTTGTTCGAGTGTCGCCTCTGTCCTATAATTCCTACATCGGATGTTCTCCCGGTTAAATTTCACGTATTTCGACTGTTCGTATAAAATATTGCAATTTAACCCCTAGGCTTGTGCCGAGCCAGACTCGTGCCGCACACTAGAGTTCGAATGTCACAAAATTTAAATCGCATGTGCCAAGAGATTAAGCATCGTACTTATTACAAATTACAAGTAAATAAAGTATTTCTTATAAATAAGTTACAAATAAATTACAGACAAATGTGCAGGTATAAAGCATTGTTTGCTGCATGCCATTCTTGTACACTATGCACACTATTATTTTATTTCTCTCTAAAAGTAGTTTCTTTGTCAGAGAGTCTCTTGCTATATCTACTCTTTGGGATGTGACTGTCGAGTATCAATGTCTGATCTATTACTCATTGATATTTGATGATATATCGATGATATTTTTAAGATGTTATTTTGAATAGGAAGGAGTCACTGAATTTGACTGAAGTGAGTTGTAACGCACATTAAATTTATTATTATAAATATAGTAGTATAGCATTTAGTACAGCTTATAGTACAGCACATATTAAAGATATAAATATCATATGTACCTAACACAAATCTTAAAATTTTGAAATCTTGAAATCTTAAAATCTTGATATCCAGAAATCTAGAGATTTAAATACCTAGCAGTCCAGAAAGACACAGGTAAAAACAGAAATTCTATCGCTACTCAAGCTTGTCCCATTACGCGCCATTATTCAAATTCCTACGTAGCATTTCTAACAATCTCCAAAAAAACAAGCACTAAAAAAGGTTATAAATCAAACACGTAACACGAGAAATCCATAACGATAATAGAACCGAAGTTATTATAAAAGTAAATAGTTGATCTGAGAACGGGGCAGAAGTGAAATAAGAATGCAACGATTATTACTCAATTTCACGTTATTTGTGCACGTCAGCGGTTGTTACTCAACGACCCTTTCAGGGAAAGTTCGGATTTGCTCGAGACTAGGTGAAAGAAATTCTCGAATGGCTGTTAGAACCGCAACAGACAAGGCCGATGGATCGACTTCCGATTTCGAAACCACGGTACGACCTGGTATCTGGAATATGGTGGTTTCTAACGTTCAGTTATTCGTGTCAATGAATTCTGCAAATTTTAACTCTGTAACTGTTGCTGCTCGATAAGTACCGTGGGTGGCCGAATAAATCCACTTACTTCATTATTTTAACTGAACTGTTCGTTTTCCCATGTTTTCTTTGCTCAAAATAATATTATTTAGGTTAGACTTAAATTGTCACAAAAATAAAAAATTCAAACTTTTTTTGCAGAATATCTCATTTTGCAATTGGAAATATCTCTTCAATTACACAAATCTTTTATAGTATATCTTAATATTTTTTCAAGTAAAACTTGAGAATTTAATTTATTTTTACATATAAATTTTTATATAAACTTGGAATAATTGCATAAGTGACTACTGTTTGAATAATTATGTAACATCCATATATTTCTACTAATTTTTAAATATTCCAAACTGAACGCCTGGGTATCTATTCATGTCTAACTTGGTGTCTATGCATCTGATTGCAAGTTAAAGCAGCAACCTGTTACAGGTTGTCTGAAAACCTATATCAGCCATCAAGTTGGCCTAACTCGACCAACGGTGTCATCTTCGATGAACTCCAGTGCGTTGCATAAATGTACAAACCTCCTTTGCTTTTATAAACCCGAGTTTTCGACTGAAAATTACGGCCAATATTCTTTAAATACTAATTCGTAGTGCTTTATGCTCTCAGACCTGTATTGCATTCCAAAAAGCACATTTTTTAAAACCACACTGGAAAAAACTGAATTTCTTCAAATAATTTTTCTTTAATTTTTGTTGTTCACATATTTTATTATTTTTTGACAGTTTTCGAGATTCTATTAATTGTAGTCCGTACAACAGTGAACAGATAATTTTCTACCGGATAGAAATGTAATTCTTCCTCGTTTTGCTTTACTTCCGTACAGTTTATAACAGCAGCATTTGTGTACACACGTTGTGGTGTCGGCAATATTTAACGACGACTAAACGACGAGGGGTATCGTCGTTATCATATCGTATTAGGGCTTCATGTCGTTTGAAGTCCTAACATTTATGGGTGGTCAGTAGAGTAATTGTAACACCGATATGCTTCTACTCATTTTTAACGACGTGACAAACTGAACGACTACGTGTCTATCAACTTGATGCTCCGAAATGAACAACCTCGTATATTTTTTCGATTGCTTATTCACCAGATGAAGCCTCGGTGTGGCGTACAATTTTTACGAACAAGGCTCCGGGAAACGGTTCCTGATTTCTATTGAGTACACAAATTTCGATGAAAATGGAAAACTGTGACTGCGGCGGCTCTATTCCCCAAATACTGCAGCTAGTAATAAAATGAAACACCTTGACACGAACAGGAAACAAATAATGGACTATTGCTAAGATTAAGGACTCTGGTAACCAGATGTGAACAATAATAAACTAAAAATACCCGATAGAATATGTCTTCTGTGTCATTGTCGCTGACCTGTTGTTTAGCAATGGGGTACCTTAGTCATTAGGGAATATATTGAACCTGTACAAAGTGTCCGGAGAAACTGAAAGCAGTATATTATTGTATCGACAGAAACTTGGGTTAAGGTTATGCTATTCTATTCTAAGACACACTTTGTCCGATTTCAATCTTTACTCGATTACAATTCCGCATATGGGATTTTACTTCGCAATTAATTAAAGAACGATGTAGTTGCTTAAAGAACGACACAATTTCCTAGGAAATGTTGAGATGTTATAAGGGTTTCCCTAAGCAACAAAGCTGTTCCCCAAACACTTCTCTAAGTTCTGCAAAAATGTCGATCCTCTGGAGTTCTCAAGTAAGTTTTTGGATCGAGGTCTGTGCTTTCTAGAATCTAATAATCAATCCACGTAAAAAGTAAACTCATTTTGGTCTGACTCTCAGCGGAGACTACCTTTCATTATTAT